TTTTGTATCATAGATTTAGGATTTTTTTCCTTTTTTTTTTGGATGACCTGAAAAGCAAAAAAAAATCTAACTGGCCAATAATCGGAGTCGTTTAAAGTTGCAATAATATAATTTGTTATTTGTTTATACAAAAGGCATACATAAGGATTAGATTGATAATCTATTACGTGTATGATAAAGTACCTATCTACTTTGTATTATTGTTGATTGATTTGTTGAATATTTCTATCAATAAGTCTAGAGTAAAAATATAATTGATAACTATGTGAAGATAAAACAGAAAAAAATAATCTATAGTGTAAAAATATGTTATACGATAAAGTTTTAAAATTTACAAAAAAAAAATGTTGTTTCCAAAAAGCAGCAGTTTAATTTCTATAACAAAAGCATCGCCACACTCATGTCATGATCGTTGACGTTTAGCGTTTTATAAGTACAACTTGTAATTTTTTTATTTATTATTTTAATCTTATTTATATAGAGTTCAGCCCAAAACCATAGTGTGCCTAAATAATAATATATTTATAATCAATTATTTGTGTAACACATAGTGTACGTTTTTTTCCAGAAAAATGTACGATTCCCGTGGGATTTGTTTTTGTTTTTCACAGAACCAGGGGTTCGACTATCTATTTCATACTAATCGTTAAAACGTACCTAGAGGTGCACGAACGAAGCAAGGGTGAGTCGCTAGTTATATATAAGTGAACAATCCACACCCATTGTGACAATACTTTATAAAATATTTTATCAGTTTGTTTTGAATAGATAAGTCTAACCTCCATGAGATCAAGAGGAATATTTTTTTATTTTTTATTCATATCCTAATTGACGAAGGTTAAAATAATTAATGTTTCTCATCACAACGCATAGGTATTATCCATATTATATATATCTCTTTTAACAATTTGCTCTAACAATAACTTACATATTTTTTTTATTGTTTATTCACTATTACCATTAGCCATATACGCCAAAAATTTCACTCTTGATAATGTGATCTGCTTTGTTGTTGTTTATAAAATGACACAGATACCAAAAAGACATAATATTACAAATAGTTATATAGAAATAAATTATGTAATGTTTTAGATGTTGTATTAACAAAAATAAATTTTCCGTTACAACTCGAAGTCTCGTATATTAATGGTTTATGTAAGAAGTAACTAAGCATAAAAGTTTATCTCAATTAGTTTATTTATATCTTTTGTATCAACGTTTTTTGTTAACAAGCGACTTATTTGCATCCTTGGTTGTTTTGTATTTTTAAATACATATTATATATAGATAGCGCCATCTTTTAGCAAATTTATTACTAACAGTAAACTATGAGATGTGTTAATCCAGGTTATCTGTCTATCTGTGTACCTACTAAATTTCATCCAAACCCGTTCTGCCATTTCAACATACAAACTTTCAAACTTATCTATACATATAATAAAATCGTAACCAATCCGAATCTGTACATTAAATATTTTTTTGAAAATCTTATTGAAACACAATATTATCGATATAGAGCCTGAATCTATAGTTTTTAGAATTTTTGTCTGTCTGTCTGTCTGTTACTGCATCACAGAAAAACCACTGGAGCGATTTTGATGAAATTTGGTATAGTGATAGCTGGTTATCCGGGTCAACATATAGGATACTTTTTACCGCGGGAAAATATCTCATTTCTGAGAAAAAATACAAAAACTGCAATGTAGGAGTATACTAATCTGTAAAACCTAAGAATTTGGTTTTTGGTCATCTAAACGCGGGCGGAGCCGCGGGCAACGCTAGTTAGTTATATTAGTAGATTCGTAGCTGATACATACGGCATACCTATCGACTTTTCTGTTCACAGTCGCACTGCGCACAGACACAGTGCCGAGTGTACTGTATCGTGTGAAAAGACACGATCTTGTACGAATGCGAATTGCGGAATTAATTAAAACTTAACACCTGTTGTATTTCAGTTAACCTTTTTTTCTTTCATTACTTATTAAAGAAATGATTTTTTTTAATATGCTGAGACATTAATACACAGTGCCATCTAGTTCCATGGTAAGCTACGAGGTTTGTGTTATGGATACCAGATAGTTGATACACTACACAAATATAGCTTTAAATACATACATATTATAAATATAAACACCCAAGACTGGAGTACAAACACTCGTGCTCATCGCACAAATGATTGCCCCCAGCGGGACTCGAACCCGCGACACATAAAGCGGCACAGCAAGTAGGATCTCTCTAGGACAAACTGATCCAAACGGGGCATCAGACAATTTTGATAGACCTATATGACAATTTTTTTTTTGTTTCAATCCAAAGATTTATCCATTAATATGACAGGAATTTCTTCTCTTTCTTATTTCACTGATTAAGGATTAAGTTGTTTTGTACTTGTAAAATACGATAGATATTTTTATATCCATTGTTGTCTTTATTTCCTATTATTTTTTATAAATATTTGAGTACATGTAACACTCAAGTAAAATGAAATAGAATATAAAGAATTTATGAAATGTAAAAAGAGAAAGGGAATATAAAACTATCTAGCGACAAAGGTTTAATTTTATACACAGACTTACTAGCTATTTATTGTTTTATATTATGGGACTATATCACTATGCGCCATCTGTATGTAAATAATATATAGATTTGGTTTGTAAATTGTACGAGCCGCTACATACAGCGCCACCTGCTATTCTAAAGTGAATCAAATTTTGGGGCTGCCATCATATAAAAACTTAAAGTATATGGTAGATTTAGATGGAATGGTAGAAATGAATTATCAAATTTAAAAAAAAAACTTAAATATATTACTAATATATTTAAGGAATTTATATAAAACTACCAATGTAAAATATAATTTGTCTTCTCTTTCATAATCTATAACTCCATCAGCGATATATACTTGATATTTTTTTAATGTTTGCTACACATATTTATACTTATAAATTATATATATTTTTGGTTTTTTATGTATCTTAAAAATGAAAATAGGATGTGAATTAGTAAAGTTTTCATATTTTTAAGGTCAATTGTAAAAGATATTACATCTTTTTATACTGATGTCTTCAATTAACACGGTAACTTATTCAAAAGGAATAATAAAAATATGCTATTTCAATATTCGCTTTGAGGTAATGAAAAATAAGAAAAATGTCATGACATACATAATAAAAACACAATTTCTGAAATTCTTGCATAGCACTGCATTCGCAAAAGATGACATTAGTTGATTAACGTATTCATTACGTGTGATTATAGGAACTATTCTTCAATTTCACTTATTTTTAAAGTGAAGCTAAAATTAGTGATGTTTTTTCTTCAGTCCACTGTTGGACGAAAGCCTTCTCCCATAAAACGCCAACCACCCAGATCTTGAGCAGCCCGCATCCTTACCTGCCTACCAGCCTGACACCTTCTTGGCACCAAGTCATCGGCCCACCGAGCCGCAGGTCGTCCTGCACTACGTTTGCCTAAGCTTCGTCTCCGCTTTGGCAAGTGTCGGTTCCATCGGCCATCTTTACATCTGAAGACTTGACCTACTTCCACTTCAGCGTGCTAATTCCACGCGCGATGTCGAACTTCTCAACTTCTCTGAAAACTTCTCTGGTTAATGTTCTCACTTCGGATTCTATCTGCCAGAGAAACATGAGAAGCACCGCGCGTTCCATTGTTATAATATGACGCAACCTTCCGAATGCCTCTCAGCCCAAACGTATTCTTCTGTTAGTCTCCTTCGTAAAGTTGTGCAAGCCAAGTTGTAAAGTTCGGCTCAGGTATATTTTTACAGAACTTCGAGTGGAGAGCCATTTACGACCATCTGTCCCTGGGAAATATGATTATTGACCATAATTTAGGTCTTTTCATTATTCATTCTGAGATCTACTTGTCTTACCGAGTCACTCAGGTTGTTTAGCATCTCTTCCGAATCATTCAAAGGTTCTGCCATGATGACAATGTCGTCAGCAAATCGCAAAAAATACATATATTGGCCATTAAATATTAATACCGCGTCCATTCCAATCGAGCGTCTTGTAGACGTCCTCCAATGCATTAGTAAAAAGGTTTAAGGAGATTACACCCCCGTCTTAACCCGCGAATCGCGATCCAATTGAATTGGTCTTGTGTGGTCATGGTTGCAGCTTCTTACAAACACACCAGCACCCGGACATACCAATAATCAAATAGACATCTCTGCATGGATTTTAGAATAGCCCAGGTCTCGATGGTATCGAAGATTATTTTGTAGTTCACAAACGTAAGGTATAGGGCTGAATTTGGCTATAGAGGCTAAATTTCGTAGTCCACATACGCTAAGCATTGAATACTTCCATGTAAGTCTCTGTAACGTTTTTCTTATTCTTCTTTTGATTTCTATTTCAGATAATTACAGAAACCGTGAAAAAGTCCAAAAAAGGACAAAAGGGAAGGTTTAAAATAAAATCAGAAAATTAATCAACATAATGTATTTATTTTAATAATAGTATTTTATGATTATATATATATATATATATATATATATATATATATATATATAAACAATTTAATTTTCTTATTAACTGAAATTATAAAATAAATCGAGCGAGATGTTACAAATATAGTAACATTACAAAAGAAAAATGGTACATTTCTTAAAATAGTAGTTTTTTTATTTTTAGTTGCGGTAACACCTTTGTAATTGACCGCCACCCGTGAGCAAATCGTTCGCTCGATCTCGCTCTGTCGATTGGGTACGGTTGTGGTAGCCATTTTATTCTTGTGAATGTGACAAAATATTTTTTGAGATATCTCGTATCCAAATTCCCGTGTCAATGTGTGCCTACAACAAGTGTATTTTGTGACGTGCATTCGTGCTTAAAAGTTGATGATGTACGTGTTTCAAATCGGTATGTGTTGACCTGCCCGTTTCTTACACGGACGTACAGGCAGGCATCGATTAGTGCATAAAGCAGCCTCAATAACGGCGAATCGAGGCACTGAAATAGTTTGTGGTGTGAGCCATGGGCAACAATGCTGCCACCGCCAACAAAAAGGTGGATGCCGCCGAAAGCGTCAAGGAATTCCTTGACCAGGCTAAAGAGGATTTTGAAGAGAAATGGAAGAAGAATCCTACTAATACCGCCGGATTGAATGATTTCGAACGAATAAAAACACTCGGGACGGGCTCGTTTGGACGAGTTATGATAGTGCAACATAAACCGACAAAAGAATATTATGCTATGAAAATATTAGATAAGCAGAAAGTCGTAAAACTGAAGCAAGTTGAGCATACGTTAAACGAAAAACGTATCTTACAGGCAATAAATTTTCCTTTCTTGGTCAGTCTTAAATTCCACTTCAAGGACAACTCTAATCTATATATGGTTCTTGAATACGTTCCTGGCGGTGAGATGTTCTCACACCTTCGTAAAGTTGGCCGATTTTCTGAGCCACACTCGCGATTTTACGCGGCCCAAATAGTGCTCGCATTTGAATATCTTCATTACCTGGATCTCATTTATCGGGATCTGAAACCTGAAAACCTGTTGATCGACTCACAGGGCTACCTCAAAGTGACCGATTTTGGTTTCGCGAAGCGAGTCAAGGGCCGTACGTGGACGCTTTGCGGAACTCCCGAGTACCTCGCACCCGAAATCATCCTTTCAAAGGGATACAACAAGGCTGTTGATTGGTGGGCGTTGGGCGTCCTCGTCTACGAGATGGCGGCTGGATATCCGCCTTTCTTTGCCGATCAACCGATACAGATCTACGAGAAAATAGTATCAGGTAAGGTTCGCTTCCCATCGCACTTCGGCTCCGACCTGAAAGACCTCCTGCGTAATCTCCTGCAGGTCGACTTGACGAAGCGTTACGGTAACCTGAAAGCAGGCGTTAACGATATTAAGGGTCATAAATGGTTCGCAAGCACTGACTGGATTGCCGTCTTCCAGAAGAAGATCGAAGCACCATTCATCCCACGCTGCAAAGGTCCCGGCGATACTAGCAACTTTGATGATTACGAGGAGGAGGCTTTGCGTATCTCATCGACGGAGAAGTGTGCGAAAGAATTTGCAGAGTTTTGAGCACTTTGTTGGAGCCTGCAACTTTGTAATAGTGAATTTTCCATGACAAAGTGGTTATGGAAAAGTGATGAGTGCATCTCTTGTGGGCGGCTTAGGGTGTACATAGACATTAAAGAGCCCCAAGCTAGCACCCTCAGTGTATCAAACTTGGAGTATAGGCGAAATGATAGTAGAACTGATTCTGATATTTTTGTGGCATTTGTTTTCTTAGTGCCCATTCAATTTAAAAATAAACAGACATGATGTGTAGGTCCCATTATGGTGATATTCTCAAAAGCTACTGATAGTGTAGCAGAGTGTAAGCCAACTTGTCATCAGTACTAAGTGTTTTTTTGGTACATTGTAGTTTGCCTTTGATAGCAATGGGATGTGGTAAGCTTTAGTCTTTTTTAATTGTTTTTATGAAACTCATAAAAATTGTATATTAATCAGGTTTTCTTGTTATATTTAGACTTATAAGTCTTCACATTTATTATTCTCAATTTTAATAAAACGAAAATGCATCTCTTTGTCATATTATAGATTCAGTCACTAATTTAGTCTGCTGGTAAAATAAATTCCTATACTGCTAAAATCATTAGAAACATGCCTTGACACGAAAAATGTTGTATTTAAATATCAATACATTTATTGAATTTGTTCATGTAATAAATGAAATACTGTCACATGATAATTTTTAGAAGTAGTGAAGGATACAGTGGAATATGCAAAGTTGTTTTTACATATCCTTGCTAGTAACTTAAATCAATGTTATTATATGAAAGTTTTATTTTTGACACTTGTTATTGGTTTTATTCTTAAAATATAATATTGTTGAATCAGTTGATATTTTAATTAAGGAATTAACTTCTACATCAAAATATGAAGAGATTAATTTATTATATTTTTATGTAGTTGTTTGGTTTGTGCAATTCAACCTGTGTTTGTGATCTGATGGAAGGATTTGTTTGGGTTTAAGCGTAATTGTATAGTTCCTTATTTTGTAGATTTATGTATTACCAAGATGGTGGCATCCGCTGTGTACACTGAAAGTTAAAAAGATAATGATATAGTGCAATCTCAATCTTGTTGGTAACATCAGTTTTGCAAAAATTATTGAATATTTAATAATATATTTATTTGATCATAATTTCTTTTATAAGAACACTATTTGCTATTTTTGAGAAAAGACAATTTACCCAAAGTATAATTTTAAGTACAATAATATCATGTTTAGTAGACTGATGTTTTCAATAAGAAAGATTGGAATAGAAATCATCTGGCCGTTTAATGATAACGTTTGTTAGAAATTAGATGTAGGATTTTGAATTCAGCCTGTACAAATAATCTACTTAGTTATTTGTAGAGAATTTTACATTGTGAAAGCATTGTGCGCATACATGGTTATAGTCATTAGGTTAATCCTGGGATGGTTACTTAACCAATTTTGCTTCTATCACGCTTAAAGTGGACAATGGAGGTGAACTAAATTAGCATAAATTGCAATTTTAGATATATTAATGCCATTGTTCTCATCATGTGTGATATACTTCATTACCGAGTTAATGTTGCCAGGCCTATAATAGCCATGTCCATAAAATATTTTGATTTTAAAACTAACAAACTTATGCAATATAATATTAATTAATATAAGTGGTCATGTTATTTCATTTTTTGCTTTAAAATTTAATATGATATGATACTTTAAAGCAATATATAACATGTTTTACTTTGAACTTTTAATATATAAGAGTATGTGATTCTTTATGTAAAATAAATAATGAAAATTTAGCCTGGCAACACTAACTATGAGCTTATCAAAGCTGCACTTAGGTTGATTAATTTTTTTTTTAGAATTTGTGATCCATATAACTAATGTTTAATGGATAATGCTAAATCATATCAACCTGTAATCATTAAATAATCATTCTAAATTATTGTAATAGTGTTGTCCGTCAACTTGTAGTTTTAGAAATGCTTTTCTTTCAACTAAATTTAATATCATCAGATGCAGTAACGAAAATTAATCTGTATATTCTATTTTCTTGGTAAATAAAGTTTCTATTGAAAACAATGTCTTATCTGGTGGAGTAAATTGGAAAAATAACAAAAAAAAAGTACCAGTTGGTTCCTTATAAAATAGAGTAGTTGTGTTGGTGCCATAAAATTTATAATCTTTCTCATGTAAATATTTATATTTCTATTTTTTAATTTTTCACTATTTAAATACCTATTGTCACAGTAAAAGTGGTTGTTAGACGTTGTTTTTGTTGCAGTATTAAGCTTTAGCACTAGACTCGAATTAGTTGTAAGAAGAAATAATTTTCACTGTAGTGTCTGTCATATTTGCTATTTAAATGCATATATAATTATGATTGTGCCTAGATTCGAAGCCATTAAATAATATCTTGTATCTACAGATAAAATCATTAATGTACTAAGCATCTTGAGATATTATAGATAGAAGAAACGCTATACAATAAGATACTTTTGATCTATTGTTCGTGCGAGTTTCGTTTTTCATTGCGCACTTGGAAATCATTAGATCGTTGCAGTCGCTCACCATAATATGGACATTGTTTGTCAAGGTGTTTCAATTTAATCTCTACCATCGTGCTAAACTTTCGCATTACTGCTCCTTTTTGGTGGCAAACGTTTTCTTTCATTTCGTATTGCATTTTAAATTATTAAGGAGTTTACGATGTGTACTTTTCATAATTATCATTGTATATATACTAGAGTGATTGTGCCCCTGATAAATATTTAGCAATTTCGAAATCTAAAGTTTCATTCCATACGCTTCACGCGCTCACCACCGACTCGGCAGTCAGCGGACGTTCTAATGTGAACATTTTAAGGCCACTTAGATATTAAACGTTAGTGTGACCGTATGTATATTTGCGAGCAGTCTTTTTTTATCTGTGCGTATCATTAATATTTAAAATGTTCACGGTTAGATCTATTTTATCGAGTGCCTATAGCATTGAAGGTCAAGTGTAAAAAGTCAGTTAATTTCAATAATTTTTGTCACCATGTATTGATCTTCCATAAAATTACGATGAAATTAAAAATATCGATGTAACAGTATACATTTGTTTGATTGTACTTTTAGTTTTATCGACCTTTATTATAATAATAATATATTTAGCATACTTAGACTTAAAAGTTAAAACCAAAACTCAATAAAATTGAGGTTACGAATTCTTTTTTTTTTCAGATATTTCTTAACGTATTTGGTGCGTTCTAACTTGTAACCGTTAGAGCTATGTCTATAGAAGCGAAAATTTATGTTACACGATAAACCAAAGACGCTTGTAGCTATCTATGAAGATTCACACATTTGGCAAATGGCATGCACCGGTTTAATACACGTGGGGCGACCGGGGATAATGTGCGGCTTCCTAATGAAGCGGAATATTCCAACAGTAATACTGCCAAAATGCTAGATGAATTGTTTTAATTTATTATTTACTAGCATTGCCCGCGGCTCCGCCCGCGTTTAACCAAATTCGTAGGTTTTATATATTAGTCTACTCTTACATTGCAGTTTTTGTATTTTTTCTCAGAAATGAGATATTTTCCCGCGGTAAAAAGTATCCTATATGTTGACCCGGATAACCAGCTATCATCATACCAAATTTCATCAAAATGTGTCCAGTGGTTTTTTCGTGATGCGGTAACAGACAGACAGCCAAAAATTCTAAAAACTATAGATTCGGACTCTATATCGATAATAATGTCTATTTCAATAAGATTTTCCAAAAAATATTTAGTGTACAGATTCGACTTAGTTATAATTTTATTATATGTATAGATTATGTGATGATATTGACTAACGTTGAAGATAGTTCGATAAGATTCCAGAGTTCCAGAGGAAGGACTTGGGATTTCTAAACATTGAAAGAGAACTTCGAGATTCTAGTCCACTCTATTATTGGGTTTCACATCAGTGGTATTAGCGGATTATAATTAATAGAATGAACTCACAATATAAACATACAGATATAATATTTTTTTTAATTTATTTTCTTTAAAAGTCATTAACCGGTCTATACAGTAAAATGTTGATCTTGATGTCTAATTTTGTAACCATGCGTATTGTGAAATGTACCGACATTTTTAGCTCGACGAGCGAGAATAGGGACGAGTCAAGGTTACGAGTTCAAATTACGGGGTTTTTTACCTTATACCATCAAACATTTGATACGTCGAAGTACATATTTATGTTTAGGCTTGTTTTTAGTATTGCTGAGCTATTATTACAGTGTGGAGGCGCCGTATCGTCAGATTTTAATCTATTTCTAACAACACATTAACGTGTTACACCTACACAAATTACTTAATAGATGAGAAATTAAAAACTTGCTTCTCTTTGAACTGAGAAATGTTTGAATAATTTCAATGTATGTACACGTATTTCCGAAACGAATTTAAAATGTTATTTAAAAAGTTGCACTAAATTTCTCGGTTACGTAACTTATATAGGAGCCAAATTGCGCCGGAATTCATATATTCTATTTAGCTCAATGAACATATTTATCCTCACCCACGTCATCATTCAACGTAATAATATCAAGATATCTAAATTTATTTCTTTAAAAAAAAATTACGATTGTTTCACTAGACGTTCTGTTATACTTACACGTTTGTTACAAAAATTACATTAATTACAGTAAAAATGTTAAATTTGCAAACTTTGCATAACAATATCGACGGCGTTTTTGCTTTCGGAATGTGAAATTTGGTCGATAAGAAAATTCTATCGATTTTGTTGTTGAGGCTATTAGCATAACCTAGAAAATATCGTGTAGGAAGGTAAGATTTGTTTTTTTTTTTTTTTTGTCTGCACTGAAAATTAATTTACTTACAGGCCCTTAGCTCGTTTATTCAGATTGACGCGCGATAAGCGAGTTCACTTGTTGAATAGTGTCATTATCAATTCACACTAGATATTTCTACACGTGCGACTCAATTCAAGTTTAAGATGCTATACATTTTTATATGCTGTTTTATGTAAC